CATGATTGCTTAAGCGATATATGAGCGACCTCATATATCACTTAAGTGACCAAGAGTTTTCCAGAAATGATCGCATAAGCGATCACCTCAATCGCGAAAGCGATCAAGAGTAAAAGCGAAGAATCATCGCTTAAGCAATCTTAGATCTGAGCAGATGTTGATTCTGTCTCGTACAAGATCGTTTAAGCGACTAAGAGTAAAAGTGATGAATCGCTTAAACGATCTTAGATCTAGGTAGATGCTGATTCTGCCTCGGACAAGATCGCTTAAGCGATCATGAATCGCTTAAGCGACCAAGAGTAAAAGCGATGAATTGCTTAAGCGATACAAAAGATCACTTAAGTGATCTTAGATCTGGGCAGATGTTGATTCTGCCTCAGACATGATCGCTTAAGCGATCCTAAATCACTGAAGCGACAGTACAGAGCAAAGGGATGTTATTTCATGGAATATTATGATTGCTGGCTATACTCAAATGAGCCACTACAAAGAAGCATTAATGTTATTTCGGCAAATGCTAGGATCAGATGTACAGCCTAATGATGTCACCTTTTTAAGCATTCTTCCAGCTTGTGCTTATTTAGGTGCGATTGATCTTGGCAAATGGATTCATGCTTATATAGACAAGAACTTCCAAAAACTAAACAATATATCCCTTTAGACAAATCTTGTTGACATGTACGCCAAATGTAGAAATATAGAGGCAGCAGCACAAGTTTTTGACACCATGAGTTCCAAAAGCTTGACTTCACTTTCTAAAACTTAAAAACCAGGCAACATAATCCCCCCCAGAAAATGCCAATGACCAAAGCAACAACACTAGGCTAAAATCAAGCTAAACCATAGATAAAGCTAATCATCTGTATTTTTCCCATGTGATAAAGCTAATCATATATTTTTGCTATCAATAAGAGAACTCTGAGAAACTTTGAGTGCAGGGGTATAAAATCAAGTTTGACATTGATTGCTTTGGTTGACCCAAGATTTTATAACTGATGGAAGATTGAGGTTGGCCTTGACTTATATCTAGTACCTGCTTCGCAAGTCTAAATTGCATCCTCTGAGACACGACACTCCAAAATGACCCACAACACTTCCAACAAATCTAAAACCCCTCGGTCCAAAGAGGGTATGCCAAACAAAATTCCATGTTCTCAAACCCCTTGCACAGCAAAATTCCCCCAAATTCACACAAACCATCCATTTTCTCATCCAATTAAAAAAACAAGTAAAAATATGTACCATTTCTTCGTCGGCCTCCTCCTCCTCGCCTGAATTCTCACCGGCCTCCATCTCTTCAGAACCATTTTGAGATTCTTCTCCCTGTTGTTGTGCCACCATCGTCTCCTCTGCCTGTGGACCACCTTCACTGATCGGATGATCCACCGGAGCAGCCATTAAAATGCTTGCGCCGCCGAACTCTAGGATTCAAAATGGCATTGGGTTTTCCTCCTCATTGTGAATGTTAGCAATGGTTTTAAGAAAGGAAGCTTTAGGATTGAAAATGGATCAAAAATTTGCAGGAATGTGAGACTGTAGTCGTCGGAAATTGCAGAGAATAGGTTTAGGGTTCGTCAGTCAATTTTTGCCTAATACGTTTCGATTAAGCAATTTGAATGGGTGGGGCTCATTTTTAAATTTCAAATTTTAAATAACTTTCATTAGGAAATCGCAGAGAATAGGTTTAGGGTTCATTGGTCGATTTTTGCCTAATATGTTTCGACTAAGCGATTTGAATGGGTGGGGTTCATTTTTAAATTCCAAAATTTAAATAACTTTCATTAATTATTTTTGCCCACATATGTTTGAATCTTTTCATTTTAACCCATTTTACATGTTTAATGAATCCTAATTGTGCCACGTCAGCTTTTCTAAATTAAAAATTAAATCAAAAAGATTAAAAATATTTTTAAGGCCATTTTGTTAAATGGAAACTTGGGATGTCCAAGGAGTTAAATTTTCTTGTGATTTTTGTCATAAGCTCGAAAGTCTTGGTAGCCCAGAAATTAGTAGATCGACGTGATCTCAAGGTCATGAAATCTTGAAGTCTGACTCAACATAAACTCGTCGCGATCGTCCAATATAGCTGTTCAACAGACTAAGGGATAAGCTTTATCTCAAACATCTCGGGAGGGATAAGAATGAATCAATATCTACGCGATCCCAACGCGTAATCACTAAAATCACAAAATCGCTTACCAAGTCTGATGGCAATCCCAGATTTCTCTCTACTTCCTTTGGTGTAAACTTGTATAAATACCCCTTCCAAATATGAGAAAGGGGTTAGCAAATTCCAAATATGAGACTCATGGGAGTGAAGTTAGAAGACAAGCTAATTCCAAGAGGCGACATGGGAAAAAGGCCATGGGGGAACAAGTTAATAATGGTCGTCGGGGGGAATCTCGCACTTAGTGACTTAGTACATAAAAGAAATGAAAAATGAAACATAATTCATAAATCACTTAAACCCTCTCAAGTCCTCACTGAAAATTAAGAAGGAATATCATACAAATACCATGGAACAACATTTAATCCTATTCATTGGGATTATGTAAATATTCCATTCTGAAAATAGAAAGTGAAACAATTAGATCTTCTTTGAAGATTGGTACTAATTCATAATCTAACATGTACAAAGCGAAAACGTCATTCTTGATTCTACGAAAAATCTTATGAAAGCATCCAATAGAATCATGAAGAGTCTAAGTGAAACAAACATAATCATATGAGATATGGATATTCCTTCAAAACAGACAATAAAAATGAATATATGTATTAGGAAATTTTAATCGAGCTAGCATACAGATGATATTCTTCATATTCTTCCTCAGACATTTTGCAGACCAAACACATTTTTTCACATATTCCACAGGCATGAGATGCAATGCCTTTGCTGTTTCAGTACACAAACTCAATAGTGCTCTAGTGGTTCATCTTTCTGCATTAGGATTTTCAGCTATGACAAATAGTAAAATGGATTCTCTGCTAGAATAGAATAAATAGGTACCGAAAAGCAAAGAACCTAACAGTTGCATTGTGAGTATGCAATGTTATTTTAGACCAAGAATAGACCACCAAACCATAATAGTTTTCATCATCTTGTTGGATCCTATACCATTAGTCATTTGTCATATAAAAAGGAACTTAATCACCATCTAATTGACTAAAATTTCTCTAAATCTTGAGGTAAGGTATTGAGGCTATCCTCATCACAAATTGTATGAAATAAGTGTTCCACAAGAAACATATTAGAACTTTACCCTTTTTGAATAAAATGGGTATAAACTTGACATATCTGGAAGAAAATTTACAAGAAGGATACTGATATATATTTTTCGTCCTCAAATAGGTATTGTTTGTCATAATTGTGTTTACAGAAACATATTAAGACAAAACCTTATGTTTTTCTTTTTTTTTTTATAAGAAAGAGAAGTTTGTCAATTACTGTGCTATTCTAGTTAACATGTAACCTCAGGAACACACCTCACTTATTTAAAATCATTTCTCTGAACTCATTATTTGACTTCGGCTTCTCATCTTCCACTTCCCCGGCTTTTGAATTTGTCGAGGGGACACCAGGTGGTCTGACATTCCTTGGCATTGCAAATGTGTTCCTCCCCTTCAGCTGAATGTTATCACTACGTTTATTAGCAACAGAGTGTGGTGCTCTAGACTCCCTGAAAGTCTGATTACTATTTTGCGCTGCCATTTAACCCAAAGGAGTAAGAAAATAAAATGTAGAAGTAGGAAACACAAACATGCAAACGTCTATAGACTGCATTGGACACAAATAAACACACACAAGTAATAACAAAGATAAAACATAATTCTACTTAGCCTACCATGTTCTCTAGAGGCCCCATGACCAGCATAATCCTTTCTCTTTTGCTTCGGATTTGATCTTGCAATGCTTATCTTCTTCCCAAGAAACATTTGTTTGTTCTTTCCTACAGCTGCAGCAAGATGTGCATCATCGGCAAAATCCACATATGCCAGGCCCTTCAAAAATCGATTAGAGGATAGTATAAATTAGTATGCAATGGTCCCAGACAGATGCTCTGCAGTTAAAAGCAAGCTGGAATATGGGTAAATCTATATGGGACTATGGTTGAGTCTCCTAAGCATATCATTTGCTATCAAAATGAAAAAAAAATATATGCTTTTAGACAGTTAAGACTCTTTATACTTAGAAAATTCAGCAATTTTACCATAATTATGGAATTCAACCCTTCTGCAGGTTTATTTGAGACTACCTAATCGTCTCTGGAAAGGACATTCATCTTAAAACCAAAAGCATAAGAACTAAATGATTTATTGACTGCATGAAAGAAAGAAATCAAATTGAAGTTTCAGCAAGCACCCTTGAGAAATTTGATCAAAGAGAATATACTGCATTTAGCAGTTTCAATCCCCTGAAGCATCGGCCATGCTGATCTCCCAGTCTCATTAAAATTAGTTTGTTAGGGCTAATTTCTGTGGTATAGTCCACATTATGCATACATATGTTGAAGTTTAAAGGTCAGGCAATGTTAAATAAGGATTTGACTGTAAGACTGATGTGCACATGGAAGGTCTAGTGGATAGCTTCCCTTTTTTCATTTGAAGCATAAAGCCCAAAGAACGTTGACAAATAATGAATGACAGAAAGAGAGTCATACCCTTGACTTTCCAGTGAACTTGTCCTGTAGAATTTGAATAGATTCAACCCCGCCAACATTGCTAAAGAATTTTTTCAGATCTTCAGAAGTGCGAGAGAATCTCTACTTGCCTTGAAGTTAAGGATTGACAAATAATGAATGACAGAAAGAGAGTCATACCCTTGACTTTCCAGTGAACTTGTCCTGCAAAATTCGAATAGATTCAACCCCACCAACATTGCTAAAGAATTTTTTCAGATCTTCAGAAGTGCGAGAGAATCTCTACTTGCCTTGAAGTTAAGGTTTGATAAAAATGCAACACACTTGTCAGTATCCTTTGGCTCTTCCAGTGGAGAAGTCTTTGATGTGCTGGTCATTTGGATGCTCTTCAAACTTGGGTTTTGCTTCTACTTCGTTTTCTTCAGCTACGTTCTATGCTCGTCCCTTTTCTTTCCCATGCACTTTGTTTGGGTTTTGGGCAGTATTTTTCTACCGCTTAGCTGGAGACTGTTCGTCAGTCATGTTCAAAACTGTTTTTCTCTTTCCATTAACACTTTTCTTATGTGACTTCTCTTTCTGATCTATTAGTTCAGGAACAGATTTGGCTTCCTACTGTAACCTAAATAATTGCAGCTCTTCCAAGCGGGGTGTAACCTGAGAAAGGGAACAAAGACAAGCATCTTTACGCATTAAGTTAAAATAGCAAGGATTGCACACATTCAATAAATACTAAGCAGATGTATCATAATTCAGTGACATCTTTAACAATGTTATGTAACAACTTGACTTAAAAGATTAAATTGATAGTTAAGCATCCAACAACCATACTTAAAATTTAACACAATCTCGGGCGCTGAACACCCACAATCACAACCATAAATATAACATAAATACAAATACAAATTCATAATCTAAATAAGAGCCTATTTGATATAAACTTTAAATAGTGTTTTATTTTCGAAAACAAGGAATATAAGGAATTTTATGAAAATATGTTTTTATTAAAATAAGTTGAAATGTTTTCAAAACAATGTTTTTGCATATAATCCTAAAAATTAGTGTAAAATTAGAAAACAAGAAAAATATCATTTCTCAGTCTTTATATAGTTTTTAACTTGAAAAACAATTTTTGTATACCAAATATATTTTCAAATATTTAAAATATTGACATAAAACTTTTAAAATTTTTAATTGTAACTTAGTTTTTCAAAATTATTTTTGAATCACAAACCAAATTGGCCCAAATCTCATAGGGAGATTTAAACACAAGACTATGTGGACCACCTTGCTACAGTACTCAATTAAGTTATCACTTAAACTAAAAATTTAAACAAATAGGCAATGATCCACCAGTAGTATTTAAGCTCTAACAAGAGAGAAGCAAAGAGTTCATAATATGTACAGAGGCACATAAACACAGCTCATTTACAAGCACATCATTTGAGGTCATCAAAGACAACAGCTAAAGTGGCACATTTTAGTCAAACACAGATGGTTACTAGATAAGGCAAACATCGCAACCAGCTAAAATATCATTAGTTAAACACTTCAATTGTTTTTTGATAAATCTATACATACTAATTCTCAATAGCAATGCAAATGCATCATACACATTAGATTGAAAAAAGAAATACGTGATTAACTGGCACTTAAAACAAATAAATTAAAACTGCAGCAGGAATGTGTACCTTCTATGCAGCGTGGTCAAAATCTTCAAGTGTCCCGTATTCCCTCTCAAAACGCAACCAGTTGTGGCATATGTCCTGAATAACTCTGTTTTTAAGGAAAAGAATATATCAACAAATCCAACCCTGGAGTTGTGGACCCAAAACAATATTTTCAATATCATAAAATCAAGAAGCAAGAATTGTCAGTAACTTTAGATGATGTCGTGAGATCATCAATTAGATCATATAATATGAATGAGAGTGGGAGCAGGAGTAGAGAGTTGGGAAACAATTCGATTAAATATAGTAAGGCCAATAAAGATAAGATGAAAATAACAAGGTTAACTTTATCAAACTAAACCCTAAATTGATCATAGAAAAGAGAGAACTTAGATGACTTTATGATAGGTCATATAAATTATTTACATCAATAAGTTTTCTTTAACCTATAGCATATTTTGACATGAAACTCTAAAAGTAAAGCTTGAACTAAGAAACTTTTCTTTAAACAAATTGGAAAAAATAAGCCAAGTGGAAAAAGATATCAGCCTATTGTGTTTCAAAAACAACTTTGCTACCTATGATTTAAATGTGATTGCTTCATATATGCCACAATTTCATCAGAGTATCAGTAACTCTAAAGTTTGAAGTTAAAAAAATAAACGTCATGGATTTTCAATTAGCATGATACCTAGAGATACTGTCATATATCATTTACGTATGATTTGAAAAAATTATTCAAAATGACATATTAAACCATTGTGATTCTGGTGCCCGAGTAGCAGGTTGACCTATTGCAAGGCTACACTCTAAAAATATTCTCAGCTGCAGAGCATGATTCTATGTTAAGAGTTCAAAAGATCTCTATAAATTGCCCTCCTTGATAAACAACATTTTAACAACCTTGACTTAAGCCATTTGTCTGGTTTCAGCTTCCATTAGCAACAAAAAGAGAATAAAGATAGAAGTGTTTGCATTGCAGATGACAAATATCAATTGATTAAATAAAGCTACATTGTATACTACTAAAAGCAACAATTTTCCCAAAAAAAAAAAAATGAGAAGGAAGGAGGAAAAAACCAGTTTAAAAACTTTCAAATTAAAATCCTGTCCATAAATCAATCTAGAATAATTGAAAGCAAGTAATGTAAAAGAATTATACCTCTGAACCTGTCCCACTAAATCTTTTACTGAAGCATCTCCTATAGATGGACCTAGCTCAGTTTAAATGTCCCAATTCAATTTTCATAGCTATATAACCTTACCAGGCTTCTGATATGACCTGTGCAAGACAAAAAGCAAGTTATACGGAAAAAAATACAAGATGAATCATAAATCAATCATTGAACATACAGGATAAGAAAGAGAAAATGATGAATGGGCCAAACAGATCTTAACCAGGCTCTCCAAAAAGGCCCGAGCTGCAACTTGATATTTTCCCAATTTAGCTCCAAATGAGCCCAATAAGCGTACAAATGCAACAAACCATCTGTATTCTTCATCTGTTGAGAGAAGTAATCAGACGCCCCTGAAATGAAGAAACTTCACAGTTAAGTATTCAAGTATATATAGTACATCCAATCATACAGGGCTGCAATTTCAATGGTACACTAAAGAGACATCAGGCTAATTGTTTATAAACACAAATATTGAAGACAACCATTACACAAGAAGTAGAAAATGACATGCCAATTTATAAATTCATAGATCCATAAAGATATCTTCCGTGCATGCAACTCCAATGCTGAATGAGAAATTTTTTAGCAAAGGACACTATTCCATGACAAAACAATTAACAAAGGTAACAATCTAGCAATTAGCAAAAGCCATCTTGGAGTATCGAGAGTTATGCACTGTAACTTCTACATAAAGTGGTCATAATGGTACTATAACAGCACACAATGAGTAAATTAAAAGACTTTTCTTCAGAGTCTAAGGGTAGAAGCACTTGACACAATTCATAAGAGATCTATGCCTGGACCCTGAAAGAGTAGACTAGCTACAAGGTCAACATTTCTTCATCTAAAATTCACCATGAATAGAGCATCTACAAATATCTTTGAGAAGCTTCAAGTTCTTGACATCGAGTAAAACAATTTAACAAGGAAAAATGAATAGTATACATATGCGAACCTGAAACGTTTCCCTTGTCAATGAAAATTCAGTGCTCCTCTTCTGCTCCAGGCAAAAGGATTCTTCATCTAAACCATCCACTCAAGTGAGAATAAGTTAGGTATGAAACAAAGAGGGTCCAATTAACAAAGATCTTTAATGCATAAAACGAGATGAAACAATAACAAGTTACAAAGAGTAGTAACTCAAGCCTGCAAATTAGAGAAAAGATATCTTTACCTCCTCAATGGTCGAAAAAGTGCATAGAAGGACTTCTCAAAGACCTGAATATGATATAAAATCTTTTTAAACAAGAGTAAACTTTATACTTGTAAAAGTGAGCAGAATGAAATTCCAAACACAGTTTGTGAAACTTCATTGTTTACTACTATAACAATCTCTATAATTCTCAACAGATGAAGGGTAACAACTGAAACTTACAGAGATATCTCTTTTCAGGCACACGGCAACGTTCCAAAGGGAGCAAAGATCGAACCAAAGATCACAACCTAAGGACAATTTTCTAGCCTTGGAATGAACATCCGCACAATATTTCTACCTGAAGGGAAAAAGAGATGATTAATTGGTAAAATTACAAATACCTGGAACATAAAGAATTGAAAAGAGAAATATGAGTGAACCTTCAAGGTTTTATCCAATAGCGAGTATAATCAAGCCAGAGATCACTTGATACAGGAAACTCGGTAATAGCATGTTCATAGAGAAGTTGAAACATGGACTGGATCTCTAGAAGACTATTCAAACTTCAAGTAGATCTGCAAAAATTTCAAATTAAAAAAATAGTAAACACTTTAGAGAAGGAAAAAAAAAAAAAGTAACCTATTGCCACATTGCAAGTTCTTATGCAACCCCCACCCTCAGGAAAAAAAGAAGAGAGAAGATCTAAAGTTTACATAAACGATTACTTATATTAGAAGCAAGAAAGACCATAAGAAATTGAAGTTATAAAGAAATTTCAAAAGAAACTTTGTTGATAAACAACTCGACCTAAAAGCTTAAGCTTGAAAAGGTAAGGGCACAACAATGGTATTAAGCTTTGTAACAGGCACTTCACGTGGTACATAAACCAATCCCAATTTCAGACAGAAAGACCAACCCAAGTATAGCAGGATGTAATAGATGGGAGACTCAAATCATGACCTCTACTTTAATATCATATTAAGTTACCGTTAACCTAACTGCTTAAGGTATCATGTAAAGCAAGCATATCATTTAGTTGTCTAAAACAATATCTGATAGTAAATGCCATATACCATGAATTGTTGAAATTTTTTGGAGTCAGATATATCCTGCTTTGCAATCCGTTCTTCAAATCAGCTCAACCATTATACACTCCAATGCCTTTCATACGCTGTGGCCACAGTAGAAGGAATCCCATCTAAATCACCTGATTCAACATCTAGAGCAGTCCCCAGTTCCACCTCCTAAGACTTGTAGGTGAGAAGGGTGTACCTTATGTTAGCAAAGGGAACAAACAACTGACAGTGAAATAATTGGATGCGCTGAACTGTTTCTTTTTCCTGCAAAAGAGCAGTAATTTTCCAAATGTAAATTTGAAAACAGATACTTTTTCTTGGTACATAACACTTCATAGGGAAATGAAAGAACAAAATTTATGAACTATACATAATGACAAAGAGAAGAAAAAAGGTTTCTAAAATAAACAGGGCATGCAACTGAGCCATGGTTCTAGGAAATATATGGAAGACCCACAAAAGCGTTATTAACCATAATACCAAACCAGTAGGATGGAATAAGACTTTAAATAATCAAGTAAATTGATTAATAGAATGCATCCCCTTCAGGCAAATATTCTATAAGTTTCTGATATATATATTAAATTATCACTTTAATGTTGGTCTCATCTACGTATGGAGAATGGCCTGCTCAAATTCCCTGTATGGTTCCCATATTTTACTGCCTATAGAAACATGCACACTAGCAGCAGTTATAGCACGCTCGAAGAGATTTCTCCCCTTCGCAATACCATCAGGTGAAAATTCACGTACATATGGATCATATTCTTGCACAAATCTCAAGCAGTCACACCAAAGTGAGACAGACTGCACCAGAACAAGTTTAGTCGTTCAATTTTAAAGAACTGCTTAGTTAAAGGAACTCCAAAGAACGGAATTAAATTTTTATCCCCTGATTCCTATATATGCAATACTGACTGAAAGTAGCAAGAACTTGATTTCCCACAAAAAGTAGGGAAAAAGATGACAACATGCAATTTAAACTTCAAAATGTACTGCCACTTAAAAAAATAGATTTCCATTCCCAAGAACTTTGAAAAAGTTTATCCTATCGCCTAATTTGGTAGAAAATTTGATGATGCATCAAAAAGGAACCATGCGTCTTTACACTCACACAAATGTAAGATATTGATATCCATTCTGAAGCAAGGCCTATAATCATCTCTACCATACAAATGAAACTCATGAGCCATTTGTCATTAGTAATTACTTATTGGAATAATTTAGCCAGTCAAAAGTCATTGATCTGGCAAGCTGAATTTTTTTATCAAAAAGGTATTTTTAGGAAAATAACAAAAATACCACAAATGAGAATTCTAAGATCACTATGTTTAATCCATAAATCAAAGCATAAAGTAATTCAAATTCATAATGATAACAAAAACCTACAGATAATCAAAAACTCCTCTTTCATAAATTTCTCAATCCCGAGAAATGCCTCAGGTCTGCAAAGTTGAAGCAAAGAATCAGCAAGAAAATACCTTCAGCTAGATAAAGCGATAAAATCTTAAAGTATACCCAAAGCTTTAGTATCAGTCATGCAGAACAAGAAAATCAAATCTTAAAAATTGGCTGACCCCCTTTATTTTTTTGCTTTGGGGGTAACGGTCATCAGGAGGTACAGTTACTGGTTTTCAACATTGAGCTTCATGTTTTGGAGAAACTAATATACTTACACTAGAGATGAGTTTTGCAAGAGGGCAAGCAGGCCTGTCCATTAAAGCAATGACAAGAGGGAACTCAAAATCTATAAACAAACAAAACATTAGACAGCCGCAAATTATCAAAAACCAACCTCCCAAGTCAACCATCACTGCTTCGTACTTGCGACATACAAAAAAAAAAAAAAGGCTCAAAACTCATTTCTTTAAATCAATTAAGCCGACATTTGAGCTAAGGCTCAGTAGATAGAAGTCACATAAACTTGAATTCAACATAGTTTTCACCATTTAAAACCAAAAGATAACACTTCCTCCTTTCAAACAATCCATTTAATTTTTCTCTTATACTTTCTCTCGTTAACCATAAACTTAAGCGATCAAAATTTAATCATGAAGCCAATAACAAGAACACAAAATGAAAAAACTGAAACATACCTAGTTGAAATAGAAGCTTCATCTCGAACCCACTCTTGCCACATAACAAGAGTCAATGGAAGTTTCACCATGCAAGATATCTAGTCCCTTTTGCCCCATCAAAGCCGATCTTTGTGGATTGCCCAAATCAAGCGCAGCTCTTGCTGCCAAATTTGTTCGTTTATTCTCTTAGATGGGCATACAAATGAAGCGGTACGTCTCCGTAAAAGATTGTATCATATATTCATACACTTTTTAACAGTATCATAAAGACCACATCATAGTGCACTTATTCAATATCAAAAAACAAAGTGCCTTAGTACATAAAGGAAACGGAAAATGAAATATAATCATAAATCAATTCAATTAAACCCTCTCAAGCACTTGCTTAAAAAAAGGAGGAATATACAAATACCATGGAATAACGTTTAATCTAAATCATGGGGATTATGTAAATATTCCATTCCAAAAATATAAAGTGAAACAATAGGTCTTTTTTAAGAATGGTACTAATTCAAGATCTAACATGTACAAAGTGAAAACCTCATTCTCGATCTGTGAGAATTTTTAGGAAAGCATCCAACAGAATCACGAAGAGTTTTAAGTGAAACAAACATTATCATACGAGATATAGATATTCATTCAAAACAGACAATAAAATGAATATACATGTGCGGAAATTTTAATCGGCTAAGCATACAGATGAATTCTTCTATTCTTCCTTAGATATTTTCCAAACCAAGACATTTTTTCACA